AGCGCAGTTAGTTTCTCCATACCGACACGAAGGGTAGAGACCTCCTCACGAAGCTCGTGGTTTTCCTGTTCTAGATCTTCCATCTTCCTCTGTCGATTGGCTCGGGTATCGTATCGATGAGACAGCTTGACAATTTACCGAAGTGGAAAAAGAAACAAGGATAAGACTCTAGAAAACATGTGAAGTGGAATGTTGGATGATGCATGATATGCGATGCAAATGATCGTTCATTTTGATAGTTTTTTTCAAAAAATGTTGATGGATGCATGGATGAATGATAATGCAACAGTTACACACAAGTTCACAAATATGGGGTTCAAAGGTTCGACGTTTCGTGCATGGAGTCAAAGGTAAAGCCCACCCCAAGGTATGTACTAACAGTTTAATCACACCTGCAAGACAAGGTTCTAATAGTTCCCGGAGTCAACATTCCTCCTTCGGATATTACCAACGTCTTGATTACTCAATAATTAGCAATATTCTCAAGAGAAACTCGTACGAGCGTAGCATCGCGTAACAACTACTTCCGGATTACTCCGTTATAATCTCCGCGCTACACCTAAAAGTCCAAGATGGGTTAGGGTTCTACGGTTCTCAGCTTCTCTGGCTCCCAGGTCAAAAATAATAATGTCTTCCCGATTACTCGGTAAACAAATATTACGTTCAAAAGGGCCTTCCACTGAGTGGGGGATTTCATGCCTCCTTATTCGGGATTACTCCCTCAAAGTTAACATGACTACCGCCCGTCCTATCCTTAAGTGTAACTTAATCCGGGTATAGGATTCGTCCTTTGCAAAAAACCCAAACAACCCCAATATAAACACATAATCAAACAAATCAAATAATAATAAAATAGATAAAACAAACTAGGCTTAACCCACTTAGGGATGGACCATCAAGAGGTCAATCTGTCCCCAGCAGAGTCGCCAATTCTATAGCGATAAAAAATGTAGCGGGGTAAATCGGAGATCGAACTATTAATTAATTTGTCTCACAAAAGCAAGAGTCTCCACCGCGCTTTATTGTTTCCAAGGGAAAATGGAAAAGAGCGAAATAAAACCCTAAAATATGCAATGTAAAATAATACTTTAAAAGTAATGAAAATACAAGGCGTTTTTGAAAAGAGGTCTAGAGTTTGGGGGTTGGTTATACAATGGGAAGGTATTAGCACCCAATGCATCTATAGTATTCTATAGGAACCTTTTGAAATATCTGTTTATTAAAATGTTTGTTTGATTAAAAATAAATTGTTTTGGCCAAAAATGGGTATGGACGAGTTTTTGAAGATACGACGACCTATTGTCGAAGTTTTGACTTAAAAGGTGTGAGTTTTGAAAAATTGAATATTTGGGAAAATTATCTTAAGTTTTTAACGAAATAATAAACGGAGGATGAATGAGGGTATTCGCACGATGTTTTTTTGATGACATGAAGTCGACAAAAATTAAACAATTCCCTTGGATTTTGCAAGCAACATGAAGATTAAAACTAAAAGTATAAACACTCCAAGATTTTAAAAGAAAACCAAGAGAGAAGCCATGGAATTAAATCTAAATTATCACAAACTCAACCAACATGTATCATGGGAGGAACATCATAAGGGGCAATAAATTCAAAGAGATAACTTACAAACTTATCAATAAAAGACTAGTTAAAAAAACTAACAAAATTAACTAAAATCTGGACCAAACTAAAAATGAAATATCAAGATTTAAATAAATTATAAAACTAAACTAATTAATTGGGTTATAAACTGAAAACGAAATAAAGGTCCAGCATGGGATTGAAATCGAAATCGAACAACGCTTCTTTCGAACTCTCTTTTTTTCTCTCTTTCGAACTCTCTTTTTTCTCTCTTCGATCTCTCTCTCGAACTATCTCTTCAATCTCTCTTTCGAACTCTCTCTTTGATCTCTCTTTCGAACTCTCTCTTCGATCCCTCTTTCGAACTCTCTTTTCGATCTCTCTTTCGAACTTTCTCTTCGAACTCTCTTCCCTAAATCGAAATCGAACACCCTACTCCCTCTTTCGAACTCTTTCTCCCTCTAAATCGAAATCAAACGACAACACTGCTTCTGGTTTTTTCATGCAGTTAAACATCAAATCAACAAGGCGACAAATATTCATGGTAAGAGAAACAACAATAACAATCTCAGGGGTTCTGGTTTATTGAAACATCAACAACAAAAAATGCAGCAACGACAACTAGTTCACAGCATATATCATTATAACAAGCATAGCAACAGATTTTGAGAAAAAAAGTAGGGAGACTTACAAGATCAGAGCAAGTCTGATGATTTCAATTTTTGACGATGAAATAATAAAGAAATCCAGAGATGAGGTAATATGCTCTTTTAATTCCTTCTGCTCTTCTGAAAATCTTGTTGGAAAATCTTGTAATAGAATTGATTTCTTATGAAACTGTAGACAATAAATGTTGCTTGTTCTTCAAATTCTGCAGATTCTTTTCTCCCCTTTTCTCCTAAAATTTTAACACTATTGTTGCGAGCTACGCGTCGGTGTTGGTGCGAGTTTGCTGGTATGATTGGAGCTTGGTTTTTTGTGCAATCCAAACTTGTAGGTTCATAGTGGATATGGTGTATGATTGTTCAGTTGCAGTGAGTTTGTATGGTTTAGATTCGGTTCAACATGGCAGGTTGGAGGAGCTTCTGAGGTAGTGAATGAAGTTGAATGTTATATGGAATGAAGGTTCGAGCTTGGTACAAAATGGTGCAGTTTAGAAGGTTTGCTTCTGAGGTAGTGAATGAAGTTGAATGTTGTATGGAATGAAGGTTCGAGCTTGTGGTGTGAGGGCTTTAGTTTATGAAGATTTGTGCTTCTGCAAGTTCGAAATAGGCTTTGAGTTATGCAGGTTTGTGCTTGCAGTTCGAAACAGGCTTTGAGTTATGCAGGCTTGTGCTTCTGCAAGTTTGTGTTTTTTTTCTTTGTGAACTGCCTTTTCTTTTTCTCGCTCACCCTCTTCTTCGATTGTTATATCTGCCTTTTTTATAGTGAATAAGAATGAGGTTTTGGGAGGGAAAGTTTGGTGAGTTTGAACAAATGTGATGATCTGATTTATGGCTTTTTGATACAGGTTTTGGTGTGTGTTATTTGATGCAAATTCTGGACTGATGTGCTGGTCTTATAACAGGGCAGCAGAGATTATGTGACTGTTTTCTTGGTATTACTTGTGCCGGTTTTGGACTGGTGTTCACAGGTTTTTGGACTGGAAATTGGGCAGCAGTAACACAGCAGGATTTGGACTGATTTGCAGCATATGGGCAGATTTATAATTTTTGAGTTTTTTCGAATAAAGTGATGCAAAAATATAAATTATATGTAACTAAGATTTTTTTGATAATTTTAAATTAACATAAATAACTTGCAAAATAAAATAAAAGAATGTGAAATTACTATTTTTTGAGATTTTTTACTAAATTAAATCTAAAAGACTATAATTTTAACTTAAATGATACAAGAACAAAAAAACTAAATGAAACTTAAGGAAACTAATTTTTTTATATTTTGAATAAAAACGTAAATAAAATGAAGATAGCATGAACTAAATATTTTTTAGGATTCTTTTTTTATGAAAAAATAAGAATAAAAGAAAGATGATAAAAAATGAAAAAAAATCATGATTTAATAAAGTCAGGCAAAACCAGTTAAATTTCACTAAATTCACAACAATCTCTAACGTTTCTATTTTTTTGGTGGATTTTCAAAGCATAATCATCTCTTGACTTGTAAAGAAAAGTTGTAGTTGTTGCAAAGGAGAATCATATGTAAAAGAACCACTAAAAAATTGTTGAAATTTGAAGAAGTTATGAATTTTTGAAATCTGACTAGAGAATTGGCAAAAAAAAGGTTGAATCGCTTGTGAACGCTTGCTATGTAATAATGCAGATGGGAGGTGGTATCTTAGGTCAAAATTTGGGGTATGACACTATGGGCCATGACTTCTTCAACCACACTTTCAATGTTATTTTGCCCTACTAGGTTATTGTAATTAGCATTCCTTATAACGCGATCAACATCTTGGTTTCTTTGCACTAACACATGTCTAGGGTTATATTGCTCTATGTATTCTTGTTCCTCATTAGAAGTAGGTTCTTGCGTTCGAAACCTTGTAGGTTATTCCTGATTTACTAGGGATGCCTCATCATCAAGCGTATCGACCTACTTCATGTTTGACCTTTGGGGTATTGGTCGAGGCTGAATCGGGAGAACACCGAAAGATTCAACAATTTGGCTCATTTGATCGATCATGGGGTTAAAGATAATACACATTTATTGAGTGATGTTATTTATAACATCAAGATCACTTTCGCCCATCTGCTTCCTCAACTCCATCATAAAAGTTGTATTCATTGTTGGTGTTGTTTGAGGGATGTAGCTAACCCCCTTGATCAACCACTAGTATTGGTGACCATCATGTTATCATCATACATCGACATGTTCGACTGAAGGTCAACCATCATTGACTGAGGCATGTTGTATTGACAATATCCTGAAGGGGGCAACAATCCCACTTGAAATAATGCTCTCGAGGGGTTAAAAGAATAACCCTTCAAGTGCACTGGTGCTGACGAAACTGTTGTTGTTGAACCAGTGGCGGAAGATATCCTCACGTAGGACAAAATTGTTGCATTTTGTGTCGTGGTACAAACTAGTATAACATCCATATTGTGAGCATTACTTTGTGTAGGGTTAGAAGTGTTGTTGTTTGTGCTATAACGTGACATTTTAGACAATTTCTTCCCACTTCTCAAGTTCATGCATAAACAAACATTAGTTTCATGAAAAAAAACTATACAACATGAAAACAATACTGAAATTAACAAAACACTCGAAAAATATTAGCACATGTTCCACTAGGTGTGCCAATTTGTTTACCCCGAAAATTTGTAAACACCTTAGTCTCTTATTAAAGGTTTCTTTGTGAAATCAACTAGTGAATTTCAAAATACTATGCTTAGACTTTTTCAAATACAGTAAGAATGGTGAGCGTTTGGGAAATTTTGATCGTGGTCGAAATCACGTTATGATTTTTGGAATGAATAAAAGTAAAAACCTAACTGAAAATATAAAGGCTTTGACTGGAAAATGTAAAGGAAAGTAAAGCGAAACCGAATGAAAAACTTTGCATTAATTGAAATTTGATGATCAAACGTACATTGCACTCGTAGAACTCCTTTTACACTTCGTTGGATACTCTGAGTTTTATGTGAGTTTGATAGTAAGTTTGAACACCCTAAATCTATTGATGAAACTTTAATTATAATACAAATAAGTAATTTTTTTATGGTGAGTTTCTCTTCAGGATGCGACACGTATCCTCTGATTTTTGCTAACCGGTTTTGCATGTTTCCATTATGGGGACGAGATCATGAACGGTTACGACACCATGTTTGTTTAAGGTAACCGCTTTGAATCGGATACTGCCTTAGGCGAACCACCTATCTTTCTACAGAAAAATATTCTAAGTCCACAACTTCTGCCAGACGAGATTTCCACTCCTACTTTGCATGTGTCGTGTAAACCATTCATCCCTGCACATGTCGACCACACCTTTCGCCTTGAAATGACTCCCTCATTAAATTTTTTTTATTTTTCCACTTGCTTTTGCTATATTTTAAGACCTTGTCGAAAATCTCAGCTAACACTATGTCACATCATTAAAATTGATTCTTTATGATTCAAGTGTTTTCTATTATCCCTTAATTTTTTTATTTTCCAATTATTTATTTCTACTGCAAAATTCTCTTTATTGTTTCCACTACCTTTTAATTTGATTGTATTATAGAAGGGTTTTCAACTTTGTTTTTGTAAAAAACTTTGTTTTGAAAATGAATTTTTTAATCGAACACAATTCACCTTCCCTCGTGTGTTTGGAAACTCATATCCAACAAAGAGTTTTTACCTAATTTAGAAATGATTTCTAGATTGATCAATGGCGAATTCATGTATTTTCTATGATTAGCTTCAAAATATTATCCTTTGTGTTAACTAATAGCATATCAAGATTTTTGACTTTGTTCTAGGATTGACAAGAGTTTTGGTGCTTCTCTTTGAAGCCTTTGATCTATTGGTGGTGGTTTTGGTGGCTCGAGATTTAACTTGTACCCTTAAGAAGTGGTGAAGCAGCCGGCAGAAAATCATCGAGAGAAAATCAATGAAATTGCAATCGAACATTTTTATCCCACGGGAAGAGAAAGGTGAACATCGAGTAAACCTGAGAAGGTTGAAATCAAAATCAAACAACCGATAGATTGGATAAGGGAGTCGATTACGCGAGGGAAAGGTATTAGCACCCCTCACGCCCGTGGTGCCATATCCCAAATTTATCCGTCCTTTATTTCAACGGTCAAAAATATTTTCAACATTGGTATTATAATATTCTTTGATTTTTATAAATATTCGCTTCCAAACCTATTTAAAAATATAATAATTTATTTCAAATCATTTGTATTTTTTAATAAAGAAATATTTACTCGTCTTCATGTATTTTCAATTGGCTTTTTATTTCAAATAAGTAACATAACGCAGTTGGTAAGAAATGAAGCTTGCAAGTATGAGGTTGCGGGTTTGAATCTCTTGTGTTGCACTTTTAACATTTTTTTCTATTTTTTTTTTGTTATTAATTTTCTTTTCTTTTTGGAGATCAAGCCTTGAACTTTTCATTCATTTTGGATAACTTACTTACTAATTTTTTCTAAACCTAATTCAGGTCTATAAATAAGACTCTTATTTATCCTAAAAACCCATCCACAATACATCAAAAAATCAACAATCACCCGTCACACAAATTTACTATCTTGTTTTTACAATATTTCTTACTTTAAGGTTGTTGACTGTATCAGACAACAATCTCATTAACTTTTCACACACGATCCCCAATTTTCACGATCAACAATCCTCACTATTTTACTACACGCAACATCAACAATATTTCAACTCTTTTTTTCTCTTCACACATTTTCAAATTTCTTCATGTTGACCAATGATTAAACTATGGGGCCTCTCACCTTTTTTTTTTTAATTTGTTTGTTTTTTAAAAAAAAACATATGATAAACAATATATCTGATGGTTGCGTTTTTTTTCTTAAAATTATATTATCATAGTAACAATTTTTAATTGATTTTAAACCGAATAATAATTCTATGATGGTGGTTTTTATTTATTTATTATCATACTAACAATTTTTTATACACTGTATATTCTCGCTAACTCGTACACATCCTTTCACACAATATCACATCTAAACCTAAACACTTCATTGTCCCTTTTTTACATTTTTATGAAACATGCAAATGATTCGTACAACACTTTTTTTACAAACATACACCAAAAAGAAAATATTTCTTTTCAAGAGTTACAACTATTTATTTTTGAGTCAGGATACCAAAACGAAAAGCCAAAAAAATTACCTCCTCCTAGTTTCATGTTTTGTTCTTTACAATGAAAACTAACCCATACAAAGCTCATTACACAACTTGATACAATAATCAATACTAGCAGCAAACTTAACCAATTTTCTTCATTATTCTTTAACTTGCAACAAGACCATTATACCATAAAGTTTCATAACCACCATCACACTTTCAAATATCCAAAGATTTTCAATATTACATAACAAAACAATGTACAAACTCACGGAACTCACTAACAATACAACATAACACTTAAACAAAACAATTTCAATTTCCCTGACTAACAATGCATCGATACAAATTCAACTTTGTTTTACAGTAATTCAAAAGAAGATGAAACAGAGGAGAACAATAAATCTCGGAATCAAATCGACAATACCTGCACACTCTGATAAGTCTTTTTTCTCCACAGACTACCACAAGAGAGACGTTGCAGTTTCTGCTTCTCAATTCTCACCCCTGCGATGCAATACCACCTCACGCGATTCCGCCTACAGCTCACGATAATCCTCCACTTCAATCGCAGTTGACCTCCCTGTCACAGCATCAACTGATCAGATCCGACGAACTCAGCCTCCGAATCGGCTGCGCTCAGCTGCCTTCAACCTCTTATTCCACCGTGAGTAGATCGGCATCCTTCCATTCGAACACCGCCACTTTCTTCTCGGATGGAAATCCAGGCCGCTGCTCAAAGAACCCCTCTCACGCTCACATCGCCACAGGACCCACGCCGTCCGGCCTTTCCGGTACTACCACCCTCGAATAAGGTTTTTAAAGTTTTTCTTGGAGAAGAAGAAAGGGTATAATATTTTACTGTAAAGTAGAAAGAATGTATAAGAGGAGAGAGAGAGAGATATTATACTTGAGATTTTACACAAATTCTTTCCTTTTAATTTTTGTTTATTTTGTTATCATTTTATTAATATCTTTGTCATGTGTCACATACTGATTGGGTGCGGTTTAATTGAAAAGTCATAACATATGAAACATGAAATGGGGCGACAGACCCTAATTTTTCTTCATTTTTTGTTTTTTTGTTTTTTTGATTTGTTTCATTAATAATTATTGTTTATTTAGGATATTTCTTGGTTTTGGGCCTAAGTGTCATTTTTTGTTTGCTTATTTCTAACTCCAATTTTCTAACACACCCTTTAATTATTTTGTTTAGCCTAATTAAAATAACAAGTAATTAATTTAATATTTTACAAGGATATTAAAAATCACACAATTTATCAATGGGCGACACGTGGTTAATATCTGGCCACGTGAGGCATTATCATAATTTTTTTAAAACAAAAGTCTCAAAAACGTGTTGAACGAGTAGTTTCGACTAAGCATACATTAGACAGTCTCAAAGGCTTCCTTAACTATGATATAAATCATGTCACAATGCTTTCCCCACAAAGTGAAGGTGTGGAACCAAAGCATCTCTTGATCACTTCAATCATATTTATCATTTCTCTTTCGTGATTGATACTAACATGAACCATCTTGTAATGTTCTTTTAGCCATCGAAAAGAAATAACCGAAGAACGAAAAATTTACTTCGATGACAGGATCAACAGATACACCTAAACAAACCACTGCTTCATCAAAGAGTGATATTCCAGAGATTGAGAAACCAAAGAAAACTTCTAAGGTATAATATGGTATTTTATTTCTTTATTTATTGTATTTTTATACTAATCCCTTTAATTTTTTTTATAGGTTAGTCGAAAACCTCCTGCTACTCCCAAGAAGAGGAAGCAAATTATAGAGATCTCAGAGACTATCGAAGTTGATGAAGATGTATCTCTCACTACTTTAAAGCCAGAAAAGACCAAGAAGAAGAAATCGAAACTATCTGATGCATCCTCTCAACCCCAAAATATCATCACAATCGAAATATTGCCCCAACCAATCAAAAAGACAAGCACTTCTCAGCCATCTGGAAACTTCGTCCTGGAACAAATTGAGAGCGAAAATTTGAGCCCTGGAGTTGAAGGATTGAAGGTATGAACTATTCGCATTATTCTCTTCAACAACCATTTCACTTACTCAACTTAACCCACATTCTTCTTCTTGCAGAACATTCGAAAAACTCCTACGTAATCTCCTATTCAATACGAAGTTCCTCTTAACAACAATATTCCTTCATACCATCATTTATCTGCTAAATATTATAACAAAGGATCTTCCACTGATGTGAATAAGTTAGAAAAAATTCAGTCTTGCAAAGAACCTTCTCCGCATTTGCCACAGAAATAAAAAACAGATGATTCGGAAAGTGATCATGAGGAACACCAAACTTCTGACCAGAGAATTCCTTCAACGAAGAACAAGATGATGACAATTCAACTAATTCTTCTCCAAAGATGGCAAAGTTTGATGAAGTTCTACTTGATGAGGATGAGCATATGTCTAATGATAACAAAAAAAATACTTCCAAGACGAAGAGGAAGAAGACACAAATGCCCCTGTTGGTTCAAAATAAACTACCACTTCTGCTGGTTACCAAGATGACACCAATGCTTAACCAACACCCTTTCATGAGGATATGGAGGCTTTGAAGAAAAAGAATCCTCTTGAATACATGAATTTAATGATGACCAAAAAAGGACCTCCATCAGATAAAGGTCACTTCAGCCCTTCAACTACCTCAAGTATAGGCTCAAATGTTGAAACATTTGAAAAACTTCTTTAAAAAGTTAAAGAAAAATCTTTGAAGATGATTTATTCAATACTTTGAAGAATGATGCCACTGCATGCTATGTGTTAAAGAAATTAATAAACCAAAGCAACATAGTAACATGTCCTCCTAAAGTGGCTGAAATCTTGATAGACATTAGCACTTTGATTGATCAGATCAGTGCAGACTTCAATCAGGAACGAGATGTTGTGTTCAAGCTTCAAAATATGCAAGCTACTAAGCGGCTGAATGGGATAAAGCTCTCGAAACCTCTAACAAAGTTGAACAAATGGAAAAATATTTTAATATGACGCAAGAAGACTTTGATGTCTACACTCGCTCCATATCTCTTTTTAAAAAACAAATCCAGTAACTACAAGATAATATTTCTCAAGAAGAGGCTCGTCAACAAGAAATCAAAAATATGGATCACACGCAAATTGACAAGGAGATTGCACAAAGCGTCCAACATGTTTACAAGGCTGAAAAATTGGGGGAAGAAGTTTATGCTCTTCTGGGTGTCCAATCATCAATTAAATATAGGTTGAGGTTGGAGAAGATTAAATACGACAAAATGAAGACTAAGTTTCCATTTTGATTTCTTGAAATTTATAGTATTATCACTTTTCTTTTTATGCATTTTTAATATGTAAATTTGAAGCAGAGCCATTTTGGCATTTTTGTGGAACACCATGTTGGCTTTCCTATTTTCAGTTTATTATTTCATTACAATCTGTAATTCCTAAAGCATAGGTTTATACTTATTTAAGTACTTTCCATTTATCTTCTGGATTCTTCAATATTTCTCCAATTCTTCTATTTCGTAAGCATTGTTTGAAAATGTTTGAATGATTCGAAAGGGTCCTTCCCAATTTGGGGACCATTTTCCCAATAGTTTGTTCTTTCGACCCATTGGTAGTATTACCTTCCAAACCAAATCATCATTCAAAAATACTTTCCCCTGACTCTTTTATTGTAAGCCTTATTTATTCTTTCTTTTTGTCTTCTTAGGATTTTCACAGCATGCAATCTTTCATCATCCAAGTTAACCAATTAATTCATCATCATTTCCCAATAATAGTCAGAGGGATTTGCATTTTGCCTCTAGATTCTTACTAAATATAGATGTAATTCTATTGGCAGAACTGAATCATGCCCAAAGGTCAATCGAAACGGCTAAGTATTGGTTGCTTCTTTGGGAGATGCCGGCCAAGCCCACAAAGCTTGATCCAATGTCTTATTCCAATTCTTTTGCTTCCTTCCCACATGCTTCTTTATTAAAACAATAATTACTTTGTTCGCAGCTTGGACTTGCCCAATTGCATGGCCATAGTAAGGTGTAAAATTCAATAATTTGAATCCCACTTCATTAGTAAATTCCTGCATCTTTCGACCAGTGAAAACTGATCTCTGATCAGTTGTAATGGTCTATGGGATTTTAAACTATATATATATATATATATATATATATATATATATATATATATATATATATATATATATATATATATATATATATATATATATATATATATATATATATATATATATATATATATATATATATATATATATATATATTTGGATGAATTCAATAATAGTATCTTGATCAACATTCACCAAAGCTATTGCATCACTCTATTTCATAAAATAATGGATTCACACTAGAATGTACCTCTAACCTTTGGATGAGGCCGGTCGAATTTCTCAAACCAAGTCATGTGCCCAACCTCTGAAGGGCCATGGTTTGATTACAGAATGCAATTCACTTGCAGAAGCTTGTTAAATACTTGCATAAGCTTGGCATTCTTGGCATCCCTTGGTGAAATCTATACAATCTTTCAGTATGGTGGGCCAATACATGCCATATCGAAACAAAAGGCACTTCATCTTGTGACCTACTTGATGTGCTCCACATGCCCACCGTGTACATTCAACAATGTTAAATAAGCTTTGTTTTCACTCAAACATTTAAGAATGAATCCTTCTTATTTTTCTTGAATAATTTGTTACCCATTAATATGTAGCTTAGTGCATGATACTTAACTTTCCTTTATGCATTTATTGATGGGTTTTTTTAAGTACTCTATTATTGGATTCCTCCAGTCTATATCTTCCAAATTATTAATGTTTAATACTTTGAAACTTTTTCCGTTTGCATACCCTAAACTTGAGTTTTCTAAATCTGATGGAGACAGTTTGGTGGCCAATACCTTTACTCGTACTTTGATCAAATCTTCCAACTTCTCCTTTGATACTTTGTATCCTGAGGCAATTTGGCCTAGGTCACTGGCTTCTTGGTTCTTTAGCCTAGGGATGCGCTTGATATCCACATATTCAAATTTTTGAAGCAGACTATTTGCAATAATGAAGTACATTATCAATTTTTCTTTTATGCACTTGTACTCCTTGGTTATTTGCTTAATCACCAGTTCAGAGTCTCCTTTTATTTCGACCCTAGTTGCCCCCAATTCCATCCAAACTTCAAGTCCAAATTTTTTGAAGCCTCGTATTTAGCCTCATTTTTTGAATAAGGGGCCCTTCAATTTTATACTTGATTTTTTTTGGAATTTTTTCAGGATAAATAATTAAAACTCCAATTCTAGTTCCGTGTTTATGAGTAGAACCATCGAAGAAAAACTTCCAAGGTTCTAGTTCCACATAATTCTGAGGAACTTTAACCACTGCATGGTCAACAATAAAATCTGAGACTAATTGTCCTTTCAGTGCTTTTAAAGGAATGAAAGTCAAGGAATACTCAGTCAGGGCAAGTGTCCATTTCTAATTCGACTATACAGGATTGACTTTGAGAGCATATGCTTAATAATATCAAAGTGAGAAGAAACATACACATCAACTGGTTTTATATAATATTTCAACTTAGTACAAGAAAAGTAAAAACGTAGAAATTTTTTTCTATAATACTATACCTAATCTATGCATAATTAAGTACTTGACTAAGGTATTAGATGGCTCTTTTGATGCCATTATCATCATCTTGAGCGAGCATACTTCCTATGGTTACATCTGGTGCAGATATGTACAATCTCATACTTTTATTTCTACAAGGGGGTGAAAATATTGGAGGTTGAACAAGG